CAGGACCCGGCACTTGGCCTTGTTGAAGATCCACAGTGAATGCCTGTCCACAAATAGCTAAGTCTCAGTAGTCATCTTCATGAAATGGAGAAAGCGATGTCTACCATCTCTGGCTTCAGCTCTGTTTCTCTTTGGACCCACCTCTGAGCTGATTCAACACTTTTCCAGTGGCTCATTAGGAAATACTATAATATCTTCCACAGTAGTTTTCTCTTAGGTTTAAGAGTTAATTCACCTTGTGGAAGCTCAAAAAGTGCCAGAGATTATGCAAGGGAAAGTGGTGGGAATGCATGGCCTCTAGCAGAAAACAAGGTCAATAGGTGCCTACCCCGTCTCAGTTCACCCTTGGGACTAGAGTCTCAACACTCAATCAGAAAGCTGGTCAAACAAAGCTGACAGACTGATGCCATGGGGGGGCAGGAGATTTTGAAAGAAGACACTAAGGTACATAAATATGTGAGACTATATTTTAATGAGCATTTTGATTAAATCTACATGAGGCTGGCTAATCATAGGTCATAAAAAGCTGCTTTAAAGTTGCAATAAACAAAATCTTATTGAAAGTGAATGAATTTAAAGAGGTTAGAAACAGACAAGATCCAGAGCAATCTCTCAGTAACAACTTCCAAATGCACACTATAAAAATATGTGTTTCCTACTAATTATAATGACAATTAAGAGAATTTAAAAATATAAATGCTACAGGCTTAATTTAAAAAAAACCCAACTTATTAACAGCATGAATGAATCAACAGTTCAAACAATGCTTTAAACTTTATACCTAACTTATAATTAAAGGGTTGGCCTCACTTTTTTTCCCAAGAATAAAGGCTACTATGACTTTCAGAAATGGAAACCCAGAACAAGTTAAATGATGTAGCAGTAGAGGAGAATGAACAAATGCAGGTTGTTGAAATAGGAATTTTTAAAGCACACAAGCAAAATGTCACATTAGTTCTCCACAGTTCTAAAAATCTTTTTGTCCATCCAAATTTTCATTCTACCTACTGTAGCATTTGTCAGGATTCATAAATAGCAATGATTGTTCAGCTTTTTTTTTTCTTTTAACTTTCCTTTTCTTCTTGGATGTGTTTAACAGTCAAAACTGACTGCTGTCAATCAGTCGAGTATAACAGCACCCCCTCCTGGTTTTAACAAAGTGAGGTGGAATCTGGAACTCCCATCATCGTGTAAAAAACCTGTATAGGAGAAACAAGATAAGAGTGAAAATATCCTAAACCTAGGTATTTAGTCATAAGAAACAGGCAAAGGAATATTAATGCCACTATGTCAGCCCAACTTAGAGGGGCTGAGGAGCAATTTAGAATGGTTCTAATGGACCATGAGGCAGCTCTGTGTGGGTGTGGTAGCCAGCACGTCTTCATCACTGCATGCAGTGGCAGCACTCCAAATACCTGTTCATGCAGAGTCACTTGACAGCAAGCCTCCAGTCCCACTGCTTCCTCCTTTAGTGTGGCTAATGATCCAAGTACCTGTCTGTTCTGGGCTCACACTGCCTGAGCAGCCACTTGTCATCTCTTCTGATGAAAATGTGGTGGGTGGAGAGGATTACCTGATGGGTCAACTCTGTACAAATCGTCTATCCTGTTTAGATGACCACCTAGGCCTAGCAACTTCTCTATAATCTCAGTACTGGTATCTTTAAACTTGCTTAGATTATCCAGAATAAGTGTCCAAGACTCTGAAAAGTTATGCTACCACTGTGTTTTGCCATTCTGAGTTCTATGCTGCTTATGTAAGAATTGTTTCAGAGATCCTTCCTGTAAAGTACTGCCTGATCATATTATCTATATGCTTTTGCTTTAAAAACAAAGCATTTGTTAGGAAAATATTCAAAACATTGATCATTGCTACATTAGAAAACAAGAGTTATGGTAATTTGCTGTATGAGATAAACAGCTGACACTAATCATTGAAACTTAATCAAATTGCAACCTTCACTTCTGCTGAAGGAAAAAAAACAAACCAAAATGTAATACCACTGAGACAGACTGAAATTAAACCTGATCCCATAAGATGAAGAACAAAAGTAGGCATTCAGGCATTTCTGCCTAGATTAGTTTACTAGGCTGGGGTCTTTTTTAATCCATCAGATTTTTCTGGTAATGCTTGATATAATTTAGGTTTTTTTTAAATTTCACTGCATGCCGTACATAGGTGCTAAATTACCCACAGGGCATACTTAACTATTAATATGTATCTTTTAGCTGCATTGTGTGGTAAAGGAGTATAATTTCAGGCACAGATATAATTGTAGTGGTAATGGAGCGGAGTAGGGGAGATGTGCAATACTGAAGTTTTCTGAGTGGGAAAGCAGACGGAAGTGATGGTGTTGTCTGTAGTCCCTCCCTCCAATCAGATCATCTCTACAGATAAATTCACACCTGAACATAAATGTTGTCATTTACAAGATCCCGTTTTCTCCTGTTGGATGTTTTGAAGGATCTAGTCCATGCTGCTTCATCTGCACTGCGATATCAAACAAGTAATCATAACATTCACACCTAAAATGAAAAGAAAGCGAAATGTAAAGTAAGGCTCAAGTCTTACCATGTCTTATGAAAATTAAGTTTTCTTCCTTGAGCCTTCCATCACCAATGTGACGGTCTGACTGGAAAGCTCTATTATAATTTATTTCCATTACTGCAGTATGGAAAGTGCCCAGCATTTTTGCTACATGATCCTGATTTTTCATTTTTATCAGCAAATGAAGTGAATTCCAAAAATGGAACTAAGGAAGATTACACAAGCAGTATTGGCAAGTGACATATAAAAGCAGAGATTGCCCGCAAGTTTCATATCACACAGAACATTAGGAGTCGGAAGGGACCTCGAAATTTCACCTAGTCCAACCCTCTGCCAGAGCAGGATCACCTAGACTTGTCCATATGAAAGGAAAATGTTGGGAATCCTATCAGCCAGCATTGATATGAAAGGAACACCAAGCAGTGGAATCATGGATGAATCCATTCCCAAAAGCTCCCTATACATTCAGTGAGTCCAGAACTTTGTGTTCTGAATCATTGTCCATGGGCTGGAAAGACACATGACATAACGGCAAAAGATACTGTATTCCTAAATGGTACTCACATTGTTTTGGCTTTTTCCCATGTTTCTCCCCATACATAAACTCCATGACGTCTGACCAATACAGCACAAGAGTCTGGGTATTTTTCCAGTGCACGTGCCATTCTTTCCTTGAGATCCTTCTCTTCTGGTGTATTCTCAATAATGGGAACTACTAGTGTATCATCATATCTAAAAGAAACACGAATGTTCATGAATTTTTAAAAATGCTGTGTTTGGATGTATGAAGCCTTTCCCTAAGGAAGAGATCCTCCTTTGACTGTGTAAATATGTTAAATTCTTAGCACTAGAGATTTTACACTCTTCTTTTGTAAGTCACACTGTAACAGAAGAACATCTCTCACTCCCAAACATATGCTATGCTGGCAATACCTAAGCTACACTTGAGGCACAAAAAGAAAATAACACTTTAATGTACTAGGTGCAGTTGTTTGTTCTCATATCATTTTGCAGTTGCGTCTCTTTACAACTTTTTCAGACTCTCTTCATCCTGTATTGGCATCACCTAGAAGCTTTATCTCAGATTAAATTATTTCAAAGAATCGTATCATGAAGAAGGAAATGAAGCTGTTTGCTGGAGAGCAGCAAAAAAATAATTTAGGTAGTCCAAAAAGCACCTGGAAATAAGATTGCCCTGCTAAGGCATATAAATAGGAAGTAGAGTCAGCACATGAAAACAATTCTGTGATTGAGTAACTGGTGGGCTATATGTGATCTTAAGAGAGCCTGAGAACCCCAGTTCCAAAGACAAGATGATGCATGTTACTCAGTGGAGCTTGCCTAAGAGTTTCTTCTGAAGGAGGAATGGGATATTTGGCATTGTTTGAACCTTAATTAACACTGGCAGAAACTTGTTTAAATAGTTTTATTAAGTCCCCAGTTCACGTTCAGATTTATCATTGAGATCACATAGATATTTCATGAGTGGATGCTAGTAGTACTTACTTTTAGAAAACACCGAGAAAAAGCAATGGTAAAAATACAGCTTGTACTTCAGATCAGATATTCGGAAAATTAAAAGGCTCACCCCTTACAGTTTTCGATGCTGATGTTTTCCCAAGGAAGTCTATAAAAGTACTGAATGAAGAAAATTAATTGGTTTTTGGAGGTTTACCCTGACTTTTACATATGCTGATCATTAAAATTAGATTTGGAGTGTTTGCTACTAGTGAGGCCAAATGGGCTAAGGGATTGGTTTCCTTTGTTATGGAGTTTGGGAGTAGCTCTAAACAGAGATTAAAAAAACCTGATTCCTGATTGTAACCATAACCTTTTTATCAAGAACTAATATCTATAAAACTCCAAGAAAACTCTGAAGGAGTTAAACACTTGGTATCTCTTTAGTTTTATTGAAATATAAGCTGCCTACATTGAGCCAAACCTTCATACAAAATATCTTGGGACAGTCTGAGACTTTCTAAGCTATTTACTACAGAGCTAGTTCTCCTACTGAAGTCAAAGGTGAAACTATTCTGGCATCACTGGGATCACATTTAGGCCTGCAAATACTTCTGATTATCCTATCTGTTGCATTTTCCTGGATAGCTTCCAGAAAAGGTTTATGTAATTAGAAACAACATATTGTGAATCCCTTTTTCTGAAAGATCCCATTCTGTACCACCGAATTTCTTTTAAATTCAAAGAGGACCCTTGTGTGAGGCAAGACAGTGGAATCGGTCTAGTATGGACGAATATGTACTTGGGAATCATGTAATCTGAGCTTTGATTTTTTTTTTTATTTACTGATAAATTAACGGGACGACACAGGAAAACTCGGAGATACGGAACCTAATAAATACAATGTCTCCTGACTTACATTTAGGAAGGCTTTCGATTTCAAAATGCATATACAAAAACAAAGTCATTTTGGATGTGTTTAAAACTGGTGGTGTTAGACAATTCAATATAAGGGGTGCCTTTTGCCACATTAAAAATACAAATGCTAATGCTGACAAGAAGGTAAAGCTGGCAAGTCAACCAAGATGGAATAAAATATGCCCAGGCATAAAATTACACACCAGACATATGGCTTGCTCCCTTGCCAAAGGGCAATAGTTAGTTACAAAAATTAACATCAAAAAGTGGAAAGAATTTAGCATTTCAATTTTTCATCTAATTGTCACATATTATATAAATGTTGTTTGCAGATCCCAACTCAACACTCTGTGGGTGGAGTCCTCAAAACAAGCCATCACACATAATTTGGAACAACTCAGCACTTACCTCAGAGCTCATCCTTGAAAAGTAATAACACTATCTTTAATGAGCTGTTTATTCTGAATTTTCTTTCAAAGTCTGTCAAGTAAAATCTGAAATCCTCTAGACTCTTAACACGCCCTAAACTAGCACAGGCAGTGATATGTGAAGTCCACCCAAATGTAGTTTTTATGTTATCAATCCAACCTAATGTTGGTTGGCTAGTTTCGGTTTAACATCGTACAGATGCGTTAACATCTCTGTTCTTGAGATACTTGTCAGGACATAGCTCTTTATTTGGTTTGTTTCTGTAGCTCAAGAGACCACAGTAGCCTCCACATTACAAGTTTTTATGTCAGTTCTCTTTCATAGGCTTGAGAATTTCTTAGGGAAAACCAATGACTGACTTATTCCAGAGATCATTTTACTTCTTATTCCTAATACTTTATATTACACACTTTAATGCACGTAACTCAAATGACTTTTCATCTATTTATATTGCTGAACACAAATTATCAAATAGCATGCCTCTTTTCTTAAACATGAAGTACCGGTAATAGCCTCCTGAAGTACACTTCTGGATTCCTTTTATCATCTCCTGATGGGTAATACTGAACTCACTCCCTGGGTAAAGGAGGGTAGCCATAACAGCAGCCTTGGAATGAGTGTGGATCACTGCACCTGCCCCTAAGAAGAGACAGAAAAGAAAAGAAATGTAATTCTAGAATTAGCTTTAAACTGTGTCCAAGGAAATTTTGTTCATATATTTGATTCATTTCCTTTGGCTAGGCACCTTAGCAAATGGTGATCTACTGTATTAGAGGAAAAAATATACAGCAACCTAAATAAAGGTATGAGATAATTACTCATCTGTAAGAGATAATTATGAATTGTCCTAGGACACTAGTGTTAACTTCTAGTTAGTGACAAATTCCAGGAGGGAAACTACTTGCACAAATTCAAGGAGAAACAATACTTACACATTTATTTACATGCTGCAGTGACTGAAACACTCTAGTTATTCCATCAGAGTTCTGAGATTCTAAAGAATTTCAGAACTTACTTGTGAGATGAAAGTTTAAATACTTTTACTTTTTATGCTAGTGCTCTTCTTCCATTACCCACTGATTTTCTGAAAAAATATTTATTGTTATGTTATCTTTCATGATGGAAAGATGGGTAGACAGTAATTATAATTTACTTATAAAGTAGCAATGTTGCCAAAAATATGAATTGAGGTTTTCTCGGGTACACAAGTAAGCTTCTTGTGCAGGAAGATTAGAAGAGACTCCCTAAATCCTTCCTGAGGAGATGTAAATCTTACACAACAGCAAAAACTCTCTATTACTGTCCACTTGCAAAAGAAAAGTTTCATACTTTTTTCACCTATCCATAATGTAGAACCTTTGATCACAGCCAATGGTTGTAAAAGGATGGAACAGCTGCTGAATAGGTAAAACTACTGGTATAAAACTGCTGTAAATCGCACAGATCCTCCCGCAACCTGCTAATGTACTGCGCTAAAAATCAGTGCTGAAAAGATGATCAGAGGTGTATCTATGTGAGAAGACTAAAATGTAAATGACATTCATAGGATGTTACCACAGATAATCTTCCGTCGCACACATTCCTGTGCAAATCCATTTATTTTATAATTTCATGCTTATTTCACTGTAACTTCCATGTATAAAAAATATGGTATTGAATTTCAATTTTGTGGCTGTGTATATACAGTGTTTCAGTCACTGCTGAACTAAAAACATTTGCTACGAACCTCTCATAGTGTAGGCATTCATGAAGAGAGGAGTGCACTGGCTTTTCTTTAATTTCTTGTGCGGTGGAGGACCACTGATGTCCTGTTCATTCATGTCGCAAACAAACATATCTTCTGGCTGTAAGAAAAAGAAATTACTTTGACCTGTGATGACGCAAATATCTTTGTTTTTCTTCTAGGCAGACAAATATATATACACCATGTATTTAATATAAAATGGGATTTTAACTTTGTAAAAGTGCTGTAACACACCACATTTATCCTAGCTTCTAATACTATTTACTGACACTGTGTAATGTGAGTCGATATTAGGTACTCTTTTTATTCAGACTGCTGCCAAGCAGGTATTTGCAAACCTAAGATTTTTCTCAGAAAGGAGACAGCCTGTATCTAAATAACAGACAACAGATCAAAAGGAGAAGTAGTAACTGATTCAAAAAAAGAAATGTAGATGTACTTTTCCTTCCCTCCTTAGAGAACCAATAATGGACATGAATGAAACTTACACACAGTATATTTAACTTGTAGAATTCGTTTTTTTAAACCTTGCTTTTAATAGCTTTACACCTATGCATCAATCAGTTACTCATAATAGGGCAAAAAAATGTTCAGGGCATAAAAAAAACTTTTTTCTTTAATGTTATTTTAAAAATCAGCAGAAAACAGTCACAAGAGATTTCCTCACTCGCTGCGCTCAATTCACTTCTACTACTAGCAAAGAACAGACCATCAGAGTCTTGCCACATTATGTCTTCCCTGCCTTACTTGCTAACATCCGCCACGAGCACTGCTGCGAAACCCCAAGTTTCTATGAGTGAAGAGATTCCTTTCACTTCTCATTGTATTTGCCCTCAGACCTATAAAACAACAAATCCTTTCCACATATTATTCTGTTCTGGGGGAGTTCCTGCTGTCATAAAATAGTTAACGTTCATCATTCTCCCTCCACTTACATTGTGTGGGTTTTTTTGGAAGGGAGGGAGATAGACAAGGTCACCTTTTCATGGGGAGATAACATCTGTTTACTGAGAATATCAAGACAAAGATTTGTACTCATTCAAATAAAAATAAATAGAGATAAGGTGTTAATGCTTAATTATGTATGTGCCACAGTAACTTGAAACTGTAGCCAGACAGCTATAAAGACATTCAAGCTTGACAAAGAATAAAGCTGGACTTGAGAAGTGTTCACATCTCACAGTCTTCTCTGTTAATTTAAAGAAAAGAGATTCATTAAGACTAATCTACAGTGGCCACTGAAAAACGTTGGCCTGATATGCTAGTGGAGTACTGGGTGAAATCCTCAGTTGTTTCAGTAAGTCAGTCAGTAGTATAACAAGTTTCTAACTTTACATAAGGAAAAATGAAACTCTAAACAAAGGTACTTTCATCCATCTCAAGATGAGCTCTGAGGTAAAAATATAGTTCAACATACCTGTATTCTTTCCTTCTGGACTCCTGAAGGAGCGATGTAGATTTCATTCCTAAGAAAAGTTATAGACCAGAAAAATCAATAAACACAGGACTGTCTACCTGCATGGGCACCAGATCCACTGAAAAGGAAATAGCAAATCTAGCCCCTCATAACTTAATAACTTTCTTACTTCTTCCATAGATTGAAGTGTAGATGGTTTTCAAAATAGAAACAAATCATACAAGGGTATGTGAAATCTATAACTTGCAGCGGGACAAAACATGCTTTCAACTTGACAAGAGATCTGAAACACGTGTAGAAAATGCAGTCTGATTTTTCCTAAAGAAAAACACACAGCCTTCCTCTGCAATAATTCCAAACTCAAATCCCCAGAATTCAGAATAGAAATAGAACAAGAGAAATTGCAAGCAGATACTGATCGATGACAAAACCGATGACAAAACTACTACGTAAAAATCCACAGACTACCTAAAACCAATTTCAATTATGTGTAGTACTGTTCAATGTAAATATTTTAGTGTTTTGTTATAACTGTGTAGTTTGGGTTTTTAATGCATTCACATATTTATTTTCTATCAATAAAAAGATAACACAAATTCAATGCAATTAACTGACAAAAATTCAAGTAGCAGTACATCACTTCTTGCAAGGTTTACATGATCAAAGACTATAAAAACTGATTTAGATTAAAATTATTTTAAGATGGTATCTGAAATATTTTCAATAACAGCAAAAAAAAAATCAGATTCTCTCTCTCAATTGTAATCACTGTTCGGTTTCAACAGTAACATACCACACTCAGGAGCACAGAGACATCTAGTGAATAATTAGTCAAGTTACAGATCCATTTCCTAAGGACTGTGAGTTGTTTGCATTTCTGGACATGACCACTTAGCAACGAAGCTGGTGAAAGGTCTGGAGCACAGTTCTTATGAGGAGCAACTGAGGGAGCTGGGATTGTTTAGTCTGGAGAAAAGGAGGCTGAGGGGAGTCCTTATCGTCCTCTACAGCTACCTGAAAGGAGGTTGTAGAGAGGTTGGTGTCGGTCTCTTCTCCCCAGTGACACATGATAGGACAAGAGGAAATGGCCTGAAGTGGCACCAGGCGAGGTTTAGACTGGATATTAGGAAAAATTTCTTCACTGAAAGGGTTGTCAAGGATTGGAATGGGCTGCCCAGGGAGGTGGTGGAGTCCTCATCCCTGGAGGTGCTTAAAAGACGTTTAGGCATGGCACTTAGGGACATGGTTAAGTGCTGAGCTGGACAGCATTAGGTTTAGAGTTGGGACTCAATTATCTTAAGCATCTTTTCCAACCTAAATGATTCTATGATTCTAACTCTTAAAAAAAATACAACTCCTAAGATGATGTACTCTTCATAGCAGTAAAATGGCTGTGAGGCACATCAAAATGTGGCTTTATGGCACTTGTAATTTTTACCATTCATGAATTAACACTGCCAACATTGCATTAATTTAGCCCTATTTCTTTTGATACACAAGATGATTGAGAGTGCACCATACTGAGAAATCAAGTAGTAATTAGGTTACCAATGAAAGACATGCATTTTTTCTTAAAACAATTTTTTTTCTTATTTAGAAGTTAATCACAAAGGGAAAATCTGATGATTAAACACTGTGCTTGAAATACAGGGTACCTGACAAAGAATTCTAGATGTATTTTTAAAGTACTATCCCATGTCCAAATTGGCATTTTTTTTCTGAGTAGTTGATACAAACTGCAGAGTGAGTAGTGCTGACTAGGATTAGCTGATAAAGTCAGTTGTTGGAATTTAAATCAAACTTCCGTTATTCTTTCATTATTTCCCATGTAAAAATTCTAAGTTGCTCTGATCTCATATAGCCTCATAGCTATTAATTCTGAAACATAGCTACTGTTACTATAGGTACAAAAAAGTACAGCCACATAGATTACTATTCCTAGACCACATACAGTATTGGTACCCACTCAAATATGTATTTCAGTGCAGTCTGAGCAACCAAGTTATAGAACTGCTGAGGAAAACTGTACTACTGTGTCAGTGTATTCTCTGTTGACACCATTTGTCTTGCAACAACCAACGTGAATTGCCCTTAAATGACAAAGAAAATAGGCTACATTTAGCTACCTTGAGAAATTATTGCTAGAAAAATCTTTCCGTAGACAAAGAACTTTAAAACCAAGAATTAACCCTTTTATCATTCCTCTCATTATTATTATTGCTGTTGCTTTGCTCACAAAATCAAGCAGGGAAGTGAAATGATCTTCACAATGCTATTAGAACAGCACAAATATTAGCATTTAAAGCCTCTACTTCATATATATATATATATATATATAAAAAATATATATTTGAATAGCAATGGCTGTTTGTGTCTGCATGCAAGTGTACATTAGAAAAACGAGAGGTCAGACACTTTCAAGTTAGAGCGTCACAACACCCTGTGACTGGGGACCGAGCTGCAGGCAATGTGTTTTGAAGAATGAGGACTTCCCTTTTTTCAATTGCCACTGAGAGGAGCTCTGTCTCCATTAAAAGCTTGGAAATTATGAATAGGGGGAGACGAACAAATTAAAAAGCAAAGTGGTGCTCCTTAGTACTGGACAGACACCAAAAGTTGTTTTGCTGTTATCTGTCCTGTTTTAATGATATGCTAATAATATCTCTTTAAAAATTATCTCAGTAGAACAGTAAGTTCCTTCTTAAAGGAAATGTCTTGCTTGCAAAATTATCTAGGGTGGAATTCATCTCATCTAACCACAGGCATTTAAAAGCTGTGTCCCTGGTGAAACCCACTCTGAATTACATAGTCAATGAAATGAAAAAGGGGGAACGCATTGTTCTTTAAAGACAATTCATCTACCTTAAACAAAGACAGGAAAAGGACAGAAAAAAGTCACTCTCTGAAGTTGGTTCTCTCTATTGAAGGGACTGCAATGATTAATTTAGCCACCTCCCTTCTATGTGGTTAAATCTGCCATTTTGTTCATTTCCCCCTCTATCTTCTTGCTCACTCTTGACTTTCAAACATTTTTCATGGAACTGAAATGCCCTCACCGACTACTAAGCACAGTCACCCTCTCTCTCTCTCTCTCTCTCTAACCATCGCATTCTTTCTCTTTCATCTTTACTTACCCATGTTTCAAGCTGATTCCTCCACCAGTTCCTGTAACCCAGCCTAAACCGTAAAACAGTCTACAAAGCTCTGGGATAAGATTTCTTGGATGTAACTTGTCCTAAAAATAATTTAAAGAAATAAATTTAAAACAATCAGAAACTTCAGTTACAAAATTTGTGTGTTTGCATAATGCCCTTTACACTGTGCACAGAGGCCATTCACATCTTGAAACAAACGAAGAAAACCCCCTAATAAAATGCATGCCTGATTATCCTTCACAGGAAAAGTCTCATCCGAAATTTATTCCAGTGCAGTGGTCCATAGGTAATACAACAGCGAGATTAAGTGATAGATTATTACCATTAAAAAAATGCATCTAAGATTATCCATTTTGAAAAGCTCAACTAATAACTTTTCCCATTGAGTCAGTTTTCTGTAGGTTTATTTTGCTTGATTTACAAATTTCAGTAGAACACACTTTATTAGTTCTGGTCTATAATATTTTTACACAGAAGTCAAAAATATCGCAGAAAACATAGGCAGATTATTTTATGAACTTCCATTCCTACATTTTTACAATGTGATGTTACTTCACACGACGTTTAGAAAGAAGGCAAATTGCATTATTTCAATATTTATTTCAGAAACAAAAAAATTAGTTCTCTCCATATTCCACTGTTTATTGCATCAATAAATATATCTGTTAACCAAAAGCATCTACAGGCCTGTTAGTCTGACCTCAGTGCTGAGGAAGGTCATGGAGAAGATCATCTTGAGGACCATCACACGGCACGTTCATGACAACCAGAAGATCAGGACCCATCAACATAGGTTTATGAAAGGCAGGTCCTGCTTGACTAACCTGATCTCCTTTTATGACCAGGTAACCCACTGAGTGGGTGAGGGAAAGGCCGTTCATGTTGTCTACCTGGACTGGACTTTACTAAGGCCTTTGACACCATTTCCCACAGCATCCTCCTGGAGAAACTGGCTGCCCATGGCCTGGACAGGCATATTCTTTGCTAGGGAAAAAAGCTGGCTGGGTGGCTGGGCCCAAAGAGTTGTGGTGAACTGAGTTAAATCCAGTTGGAAGCCCATCACAAGTGGTGTTCTCCAGGGCTCAGTGTTAGGGCCAGTTCTGTTAAACATCTTTACCAGTAACCTGGGTGAGGGGATTGAGTACACCCTCAGTAAGTCTGCAGATGACACTAGGTTGGGTGGAAGTATCAATGTGCTTCAGGGTAGGAAGGCTCTGCAGAGCGACCTGGACAGGCTGGATTGATGGGCCGAGGCAAACTGTATGAGGTTCAACAAGGCCAAATGCCAGGTCCTGCACTTGGGTCACAACAACCCCATGCAGCGCTGCAGGCTTGGGGAGGAGTGGCTGGAGAGCAGCATGGAGGAGAAGGACCTGGGGTGTTGGACTGAACACGAGCCAGCAGTGTGCCCAGGTGGCCAAGAAGGGCAATGGCATCCTGGCCTGCATCGGGAATAGTGCGGCCAGCAGGAGCAGGGAAGTGATCCTTCCCCTGGTCACTTGACCAGTTCCACATACAAACGGGACAGGTATTTCAAGCTTCATGCTGGTGATGCTCCCATATGCTCTAGCATGATGTTTGCATCCTTTGATGAAGCAAAGCACTGCTGACTCATGCTCAGGGTGTAATGACTTATAGTAATGAAGAGTTACCAAACCATAATAAAACCCCAAGCAATCACAGAAAAAAAAAACATAACAAACCTAAAAAAACCTCAGAGTTACCATAAATAAATAAAAAGGGCCAAAAATCTTGTAACTGCAGCCAGACTGTCAGCTGACAACGTTTTGGAAAGTGTAGTAAATTTCGTAACATCTCTATACTCTCTGCTGATTAGTAACTACGAAGGTTACTAGCTAATTGCTACGGGTTCAAAAATAGCCCAAACAACTGCAATTGCGAGCTGCTATCCTAGAGCATCCGCTGAGGCAAAGGGGCCAGAGCCAGGCAGCGGGCAGAGCGCGAAGCCGTCAGTAGCATCAGGGGAGGCACAGGCGACCACGGCACGGGCACGCCAGCAGAGCCGCAGAGCAGTTCGCTGTCCCGCCTGGGGCTTCTAGGAGTCCCTCCCAGCCGGACTGGGAACCCCGGGGCGCT